ACCAGAGGTAAAGCAGTCGTTTCTATGGCACACTCCGCTCCTCACTCATCTCCTGTCCCCTCCCTCAAACCCCAAATTACAGGCGCCTCCCACGGGGGCATGTTTATTTTGGAAGGGGCCGATTGTTTATTCTGTCTGTGGGCCGAGGCCGGTGGTGCCGCCCCCGCTGCTCATCATCTAATCGTGTTATTAGCCCTGTAATTTTAGCCCACCGGTTTATCAGAGCGCTATAAGTAGACCTCACATCATCAGCTGCTAACATCTTGTGTAAGATGATTAAAGTTAGAGCGTGGGGGAGGTCTTAGACACACATCAGCCTCAGATTTTACCATGTCTCAGAGCGATGTTGAGTATAAGATGAAGGGCATGTGCTCGTAAAATAAATACTGGTGTGAATTTGACTTTGCATGTGTGTGTGTGTGTGTGTGTGTGTGTGTGATGCAGGTCCATGCTGCCAGATGTGGTGGACGACTTCAGACTGGCCAACCCGTACTCTAAAGGCCATGAAGCCATCTTCTACTCGTTCTACGTGTTTTTCACCAAGTTTGCTGCCGGCATCTCCCTGGGAGTGTCCACCCTCTGTCTGGAGTGAGTCTGCATTACTATCACACTAATTTACACACTCTATAATAGTCTGGACGTGCACTTAGCGTGTCATGATGCCCTACAGAAATGCATTAACCCCAGACCTGATGTATGGAGTTTGAGTGTTTGCAGTATTGCAGCATCAGGCTGGATGTCGATTTTCTGTAACCTGTGTTTAAATTGGATCTCTGCATGTTTGTGTGTGTGTATGTAGATTTGCAGGGTATGACACCGGCGCCTGCAAGCAGCCTGCTCCGGTGGTGTACACCCTGAAGCTGCTGATTGGTGCTGCCCCAGTGGCCTTCATTGTTACAGGGTTAATGATCCTACTGCTCTATCCGATCAGCGAAGACGTGCGGCTCAGGAACAGACTCTGCCTGGATGAGCTACGGTGAGCACAAATCATTAATGTACACTTGAGAACCCCCCCCCCCCCCCCCCCCCCCCCCCCCCCCCCCCCACAAGGAACAGGGAATAGGGAGACTTCTGCCTCTAAATGATCATTTGTATATGAATAACTGTGTTACCTCGAAATAGATAAATGTTTTTTTCTCGTTTCTCAAATGCCTTCACAATGAATGAGGAATCCAAAAAAACAAACAAACAAAAAACACGTGATTGGGTTTAGGAAAAAAGACCAGGGTTTGGCTTCTTACGGGACACAAACACCACTCTCTTGGGTGAAAGTCGGTGTTTGTTGGACCCATCCACCACTCCTTTCGTCCTTGTCCTGCCACGTTTCCCCCTGACGCACCTTTTTTCGTTCTGACACCGCAAGACACTGCCCAAGACTGGATTTTGACAACTTCGGACTGAGACTGGACTCATCCAAACATCCTTTCACAAACTCTCAAACAACTCGTGCAGTATAATTACGTCTAATTTATCCAGTCATATGCTCACTGCTTCCTAAACAGGAGCTGCAGGTCTACGGCTGCCTCGGTTGGTACTTTGTTTGTGTGACTTTGGTGTTTTAAAGGGTTTGTTCAGGTTCAGCAAAGTCACACAATAACACAAGCATTAACCAGTCTTTTTTCAGTGTGACTCCAGCAAGTCCAACAACTTAATGGAAGTGCTTTCCTAAACTGCTGGAGTACCTCTTTAATCCGTGACATCTATACATGGCTGGTTAGCTCCTCCATGTCCAATTTTTACAACAAAAAAGAGCTAACGATTAGATTATTCCAGTCCAGTGTCGTCTTTTTGAGTCCTGTATGGAGTCCATTTTTCCTATTTTCCTCCTAGCTGTGCTCCATGTAGTCTCAGTATGTGCATCGATTGGTCCTTGGCCATTGGTCCTTTGTTGGTGGTGTTTCTTAGCTTGCTATAGCTTTCTTACTTGCTACCAGCAACATTTTGATCCGATATTTATCACTAGCATTAACATTTTCTTCAGAGAATTTACACAAATAAAGCACCAAACAGCTGTTAGGAACCTCAGATCCTAGTATGTGCTTAGGCTCTTTACATACATTTCCTAAAATAGAGTTACTTTCTGACATTTCCAAAAAACATGAGAGTGGTCTCCATCAACAGATCCACACTCTCGCCAACATTTCTGGCAACTATGGAGATTCTTACTTTACAGTTTCGGTGAAATAAAGAAACAAATCAGATTCTTCTATGCTAGAAATAGAGATTAGTTGTCATCAAATAAAAACATAAAAACACTACGAGGATTTCCACATAAAGGATGTTATGTTGTAAGAAATGCTGCTGTTACTTCTCTTCATTAAATATCTGAACCATGAAACAAACTGTTTAAAGCCAGCGTGTTCAGCTGTGCCATTATACTAATGATGCTATAAACATTTAATACACTATTGATCAGTGGTGGAAGGAGTGTTCAGATCATTTACTGAAGTAAAAAGCAGCAATACTACAGTATAAAAATACTCCATTACAGTAGTATTGTTGGACTAATTTAGAAGTCTTGTTTTTAAAATGATACTTTCAGTTTAAGTACAGAGGTATTAAGAGCAAAATGTACCTAAACTATCAAAAGTAAAAATACTCATTATGCAGACTGATCCTTGTCAGTTATATTATTACGTTATAGGATCACTGTTATTGAATATTTACATGTAAGAGGTATTTATATGTTATATTTGGTCAAGTCAGAGCTACTTAACTGCTTCAATCATTGTTGGGTAGTTTAATCTAAAATAAAGAACATTTTATATAAAGTTATTATGTGTGTGTACTTAATTACTTTACACTGCAGCTGTTGACTGGCTTGATTTCTTTTAAAAAATATGGGAGCAGCGAAAGAAGAAATGACCCAAATAATTAGCAAAAAATTAGTAAAAAGAAAAAATAAAATTTGGAAAAAATAAATAAATAAATTTTAATTTTTTTTTAAAAAACTGTTCAAGACAAACAAATAATGAAATGACCTGGAAAGAGAGCTTAAAAATTAAAATAATTCTGAAAGATAATTGTAAAATGTAATAATAATAATAATTATGAATATAATTTTTCTCTAGCTTTTTTCTTTTTCCTAGTTTTTGTTTTTGAATAATTATCCAAATCTATTTTTTTTTTTTTTTTTGCAATTTGTGGGACATTTCTTGTCAAGTTGCTCATTGTCTTCTTTCCCATGTTTTTTTTTCTTGGAATATTTTTTTTTTTTTTTCAAATAAAATCCAAACCAAATGAGGACCTAACTCATAAGGAGTAGTAATCAAAAATAAATTGATAATACAAATAAATAAATAAGCAAACAAACAAACAAACAAATAAATAAATAAATAAGCTAAGTTAAAAATAAAATAAATAAATACAACATAAAGTAAGAGGCAATATAAATAATCAATCTGTCATGTTTCTGAAATAAATCACACCAATTTCAAAGGTTTAAAGACTTGCAAAAGGCGTCTGAAATCAGCACAAGAAAAGTGATGTCTCTCCAGGTTTCAAAGGGTTAACGTGATACATTCATGTGTCCCACAGGAAACAAAGCATCAGCTCCAGAACAGCAGAAGATCTGAACAACGTGTGACCTGCATCTTGAATGAAGTGAACCCACAAAGCCACGTATTCCAGCGATTGGCGCTGGAAAGTTGTTGATTAGTGTATATTACACTGATAAATAGTTCAATTGTTTTAATGTAAACATTTTTGTTTCATTTTCACATGTACTGTACAGTTATCTTGGATATATATAAATATATAATAAGATTACCTAATTTATATAAATGAATGTATATCATTATTTGCTGTGTTTAGCTCTACAACATTGTTATTTATTTATGATATATTATTACTGAGGGCTGATGATATGAAATGAATAAATGTTGTAGAGGTTGGTTGGCGGACCGAATAAATGTGTGTGTGTTCTTTGATGAAGTGAAATAATCCCGACCTCACACCACACGACTTGTCAAGCGATTTTACTGCTGCAGACAAATTTCTAGTGTTTCAGTTTTACCTCAGTTGATCTCGCTGGTTTGATGTCAGGTAGTGACGGAACATTAAAAAAGAAGGCTGCGAGCTGTCTTAAGGCAGTCACTTTCTTGTTTGGATGTTCTGACAAAATCAAATGTTTAATATTAAACAAGTTTTTAGTTTTGGCCCCAAACAAAAGCTGATGTTCAATGACATGCACAACCAATAGCTGCGCTCTCTCCAGCATCAAACAGGTGCAAGAACATGTTCTCTCTCACTGTGGATAAGGAGGTGGTGGAGTTGTGGAGAGAACAAGAATCTGTGTTTGAGTGTATCTGATCCCCCAATCAGCTCTTACACACGTTAGCCACTTTATTAGGTACACCTTGCTAGTACCTTGTTGGACGCCCTTTTTAATTCTTGGTGTCACAGATTCAACAAGGTGCTGGAAACATTCCTCAGAGATGTTGGTCCATATTGACATGATGACATCACACAGTTGCTGCAGATTTGTCGGCTGCACATCCATGATGAGAAACTCCCGTTCCAGCACATCCCAAAGGTGCTCTATTGGACTGAGATCTGGTGACTGTGGAGGCCATTGGAGTACAGTGAACTCATTGTCATGTTTGAGAAGATGTGAGCTTTGTGACATGGTGCGTTATCCTGCTGGAAGTAGCCATCAGAAGATGGGTACACTGTGGTCATAAAGGGATGGACACGATCAGCAACAATACTCAGGTAGGCTGTGGTGTTTAAACCATGCTCAGTTGGTACTAAGAAAATCTCCCCCACACCATTACACCACCAGCAGCAGCCTGAAGCGTTGATACAAGGCAGGATGGATCCATGACACCAAATTCTGACCCTACCACCTGAATGTGGCAGCAGAAATCTAGACTCATCAGACCAAGCAACGATTTTCCAATCTTCTATTGTCATGTTTTGATGAGCCTGTGTGAGCTGAGGGTGTTTTCAGAGTCTTCTGGTGTATTGTAGGCATTAGTAACACACAGAGTGCACAGTAGTTATGCTTGTAGTTATGATTTAATATCGAAAAAGCTACCAAAAGATACACTTTCACTTATTTGGTCTTCAATGGAGCTATGAGCAACACTGCATAGTGATGACATGGAAGTTTCTGTTGAGTCTTGTCCCCTCTGGTGGGCAGTTGTGTTACTGCGCTTCATAACAAGCGCAGTAACACAGTAACAATAACAAGTTTCAACTGTGTTCTCCTCACCATTTATGATATCAATATATTTAACCTAGAGTGTTGTATAACAAAGTTAAATTACACATTCAGCATAAAAGTGCCAGTACAGACATTTTATGGGTAAAACCTGACTTTCATACAAGCAGGGATTCCTGCAGGACTCCAGTAACAACAAATAGGAAACATTTACATACAGTACATTAGCCTCTATTGTTCCTGCACCAGAACAGCAGTCTTAAACTTAAAGTAATCTCTAAAGAAGTACTCAAAGCCATTAGTAGAGCACAATGGCACTACATTTGGTGTCCTCCACAACTGCACTGCATTTTGTCAACAAAAAAAGTAAAAGAAAAAACATGGCTCAGTGCTCAAACTTCACTCAGGTTCACTTTAAAGCAGCAACATGTAAACATGACATCTGAACAGGCAGCTTTTTTAATCTCCCCACTACTGTTCAATACAAAAATAAGTCTGAAATTATAACTCTGGTTGTAGATACAGTCGGGATTTATGGGAGCGCCAACCAAACGTCACATTCTTTTACACCCAGGGGGAGTGGCTTTCTGCATGTCGAATAAAAATCCAGAGTTACGGTATTTTTCAACTTGGATCATTTATTCCCATGATCCTGTGACAAAGTGATTAATGGGAACAACATTTTTTAAAACTAAAGGTGCTTATTTTTGCCAATGACAGGCTCATATTGTTAATACAAGTGTCTGACAAGATTATCGACGGGACCCGACAGAGATAGACCTTTCTGTTAAAGAGTAAGAACCTTTTTCCTTCACTAGAAACAGCCTTAATATCGCTACCGTCAAACCCACCAGACTCCATGTAAATAATCAGTAATTTTAGCATCATAAAACACACTTCGTTTTAAGTTGATAGAAACAAAATAAAACTCACAGGAGCCATCTTGGTTCATCTTTTCACTGTTCCCACAACCACCAGCTCAGGTTTGGTCAAAATAACCCTTATGTCACCCAGTTACATGTGAAAACATGTTGGCTCTATACACGCTAAAATCACTGTTTTTTTAAATGGAGTCTGGTGAGTTTGATGATGGTGATTTCAGGGCTGTGACGGGTTAAACAAAAAGGAACAAACTCTTTTTCCAAACAGCGTTAGATTGTTTATCCACAGGTAAAAAAGTAGTGAACTTCCAAGGACCTAGTGTTCTTTAAATTTCAAATTGTGCATGATAACTCTATAGCACATCGTCAAAACATAGGCTAATGGCGTTAGAGCTGCTATACTGTCCTGAAATGTGCATGGAATTCAAAAAACTTGGTTGTCTATTACATCGTGGAAATAATGGCTGAAGGGTAAGTTGAATTAATCATATCTAAAGTAAATGTAATAGTCTGTCCCAGCATTTACAGGCTTAGGAAAGGACTGTTTCCTCCTCTCTGACGACGCCCCCCAACTATGACTAGACACCGACTGTATCTATTTGCATTACTGAGACTCTGCATCTTCAGTTCAGATCCAAGTGCCTTGCATGCTTGGATCCAGCCAGATATATTAAAGTAACATGAATACAACTGCACAAGTCCATAAATTGAGGTGTGTGTTCAGAGGCACTATGTGGAAGACTCAGTGTTCATGCTGGGGCTTTGGCCGGGGGCCGGACTGGATGGGACGGAGCTGTCCGGACTCCCAGGAGTCCGTAGGGTTGTTTTCCTCTTCCCGTTCCGCACCGTGAGCTCCTCTTTGGGCTTGAACGTCAGAGGCACAAAGCCGTCTGCGTCTGCTACGAGTACGATCCACAACGGACCTGGAAAAATAACAAAAGATTACTGGCTGAGCGTGATTTTCTAAACATCTGAGTGTTAAACCACTGCTACATGTAGCCTGTGATAGCTGTTTCCTGCTGCTGTGTGTCAGTTTACGACTGCATAATGTTACGCTCATGAAACAGTCGTAAGCTGCTTTTGTTTTAAACCTTGTAATCTGACCTAGGCTTTTAATCACTGCCAATTATAGCTTACGCACGCTGACAGAACACCGATGTGAATATGTGCTGCCTTAGACTGTACAGTAAAATATCAATTAAAATGCATTCTGAATTAATGGTTTATAAAAGCTATAAAAGACTTCTATGTGATGACTTCCAGGTGACCTCACGAGGGAAGCCCATCACACAGGCTTTCTGAAAATACTCACAGGGAGGCGAGCTCCTAAAACAGTTTCCTTTAAGTGGTTTTAAATGATTAACTCTGTACACAGCATGTCTACAGGTATCAAACACTTCAATTTAAGGCCTTTTGAACCTTTTCAAGATCAGTTTTAACCAAATTTAACAGACTTTTGGACAAATCATCTTTTTCTTGCTCAAACATTGCAGCTAAGTGAGAAGGTAATTAATATATATGTCATCCTGTGCAGAGGTAGGTTTTATGCAATGATATGGTCATTGCAGTGAGTTAACTTAATCTCTATTTTGCCAACAAGGAAGTGCAAGTGTAAAGTAAAAAGACAGAATTAGGTTTAGTAAACATCAGACGTGGACATTCATGCAGAAAAGCTTGACTCAGTTTGACAAAAATAATTTAAATTTAAGACTATTAAATAACTTTTACAGCCTAATATTTATAAAATTGAATTTAGGACATTTTCTTTTACTTTTTAAGGACCTGCAGTCGCCCTCTACTCTCTGTCACAACATGGTTAATCTCACAGGCAAGAAGAAGGCGGTTTTAATACATATTAAAAACAAAAATATCCTAAGGTTTAGATGGAGTTATGACAGAGAGCAAATAAGTCTTCAAAGTGCCATGTTAAGAATGGAGGCAAAAAAGGTTGCACATACCGTACATCATCTCCACAATAGTCAGGTTGAAGAGGTCTTGGAGGGCACGCAGACACAGCTTCCCGTCACACAGCAGCACCGGCCTCCGCTCATCAATAAACACATTTTCTGATAACTGCTTCTGCATGTGCACAAAGGGCAGAGCAATGAATAACTCAAAGAAGTAAAGCTTAATGCAACCCGATAAGTTACACGCACCATAGTTGGATTTTTCTGCCACATTAAACGATTCCAGGTATTTCAGTTGTCTTATCCCTAAAGTGGCTGATTAAGCTGTTTAAGCCTCTCGAGCAAAAGCTGCTTGCGACAGAGATCGCAGAGAGAAAGAAAGGGAAATCTCCATCTCTCTAGCTTATCCCTGCAGAGTCAGACACAAACACACAGAGGAAATAAAGTGAGTGAAACCGTACCTGACAGGTGACGTTGACATACGGGGGTTCACAGGCATTGGGGTAGACGCTCAGGGCCTTCTTGCCATTCTGGGTATAATCTCTGATTTCTGTCAGGCACTGCTGTACATCTGCGAAGCGTGTAAAAAGCCTCTCCATGTTTTGAACCAGCTGCTCCAGTGCCCGCTCCTTAGCGTGGCTCGGGGGCTTTTCAGGCATGGGCAGTGTCGGTTCTGTGTGGAGCTTGTCTGCAGGCTCCAGGCGAGGAGAGCTGGCCCGGCTGGAGTCCCTGCTGAGCTGGCCGGCCACCGCCAGGCTGGTCATGCGGTTGACGTGGTCCATGTCGAAATTCTCCACCGTTATGGAGGAGGCACTGGACACGGCTGATGCTCTGTCGGAGAAGTCCACAGAGCTGGTGACGGGGCTGGGCTCGCCGCTCCTCACCTCCTCCACCAGCCTGCGCCTGTTGCTAGGTGAACGAACAACTCCCCCTCCAGGTAACACCAAGTCCTTTATCCCTGGGCGCTCCCTGTCATCCTTAGATAGGTGCTCCGAGTGCCTCCTAATCCCTGCGCAGAAATTAGAAGTAGACTCGTGGTTGTGAGGAGAGGGGGATGGTGCGATGGGAGTCTCCCCGTCCAGCATCAGCTCTTTGGCTACGAGACGAAGGATATATTTATCTGTGTTAGAAGATGGAAGGAAGGCAGGGTCGTTGGACTTCTGCCTGCCCACCATCATCAGCAGCATCTTGTCGTTGAGGAAGCAGACTCCTTTGGGCCTCTCGTTCGTCTGCAGAGAGATCTGCTGAATGTTCGGCATGGCAGAGGCTGTGATGCAGTACACAAGAACCATGCTGCAGGTGTTGGAAGCCACTGCAACTGTGGAACCACGTGGGTCAAAAGCCACAATGTCTGGAACCAAAATCCCTGGGATGCTGACTTTACGGCTGGTAGTGACTTTGCGCTCATACTTGACCAGGATGAGGTGTGAGGAGTCCTGGCCAGTGCCTGTCATAGTGTCTCTGCGACGCAGGTGAATAAGAGGGCTGGGGTCAGAGCGGCGGTGCCTTGCTAAGAGGTGGGTGAGGTCCAGAGGGCCTGAGCTGGGGATGTAGGACCTCTCTGATTCAAGAGATCGTCTTCTCGAGTCTATAAGGTGGTCTTCTTCTGACAAGACCACATGCGAGCCGTGGCTTTGCAGGGACTCCGCTTCTGTCGGCATGTCGAAGGCCATGCCGGCGTTTAACCCACAGATTTTATCCAGAGGCAGCTCCGTAGCCACGGCTACTTGAGCCTCCCCTGTGGCCTCGATGGCGCAAATGTAGCCTCCCACATCAAATATGGGGCAGAAGGAGCAGGCCACCAGACTCTTTTGGATGTCATTCCAGATGTAAGAGTGAAGAGAACTCCCTATAGCCACCACCAGGCGTGTACCATCCTTAGTCCAACAAGCACAGTGGATAAGTCCGCTACCTTTGATGTCCGCTTTGATTCTCCTGTTGTCCACTCTGACAGAAAACAGCACAGAAGTGTCCCTCTTGGTCAGCACAGCCAGGATGTCCAGCTTAGGATGCCACACACAGCCTTGTGAGAGCAACGGGAAGGGTTCACTCATCTCACAGGTCTGAGTGCACAGCAGCTTGTTCTGCTCGAGCGCGCTGAGCTGCAGTTGCCACACGGTAACATGCTTCTTGTGCTGAACAGCCAGCAAGGCAGGGGAGTCAGGGCAACAAAGCGGGCCCCAGAAGAGCCCGAAAACGTGCTCAAACTGCCCAATAACGTTTGTGTCCCCAAAGTTCACCTCGCCGTTGATGAAATACAGAGATGTCAGGCAGACCTGCTTGCCGTCCGTCCATGCTATCCCGTGCACAGGGTGGATGGCTTGGTGGAGAGTGTTGAGACCAGTCCGAAGCAGCTTTGCCTTACCAAGATCCATCCTGGCAGCTATGAAGATGCTTGTTCAAAGAGAAAAGAAAACAAAATGACTCAGAGAGTTAACATTGATGACAGAGACCTGTCTGAGCGGTCCTGCACAGGAGTAGCTATTGCTACCTATGCCTATACCTATGCAGATTAAGAATAGCAAAAGCCTCTCTCGTGTCTCCTTCCAAGTACATGCCATAATCCCCTCTGCCTGAGCTGAGGCAGTGGTGACGAACACTTATAGCTGCTTACGCCTGAATGACCTTAACAACACGCCGCTACTGTCAGGGCATTAACGATACTATGTGTTGAGAAGGAGTGTCTCATCACAGCATTTCCTCTTTTAGATCTGGCGAAACTGCCGTAATCGTGTTGGGTGAATTAGGTCGTCTGCTTATCGTCCCCACCCTGCAGAGCTAACTTTGGACAAACAGGTTTTTCCATAAAGGGCCGCCAACTCTGCAACACATTACCAACTAAAATCAAATTAATTTCTGGATATAAAATCCTTCACAAAAAAAGATGAAGTGCTCATAAAACAAACTGGTGCTGTACCTTTTTTAATCTAACTTTATTGTAAATTACCAAAGTGCACTGGTTTATGCATATAGTGGTATGTGTTTTCTGTAAAACTGCAATTATCAATCAATTAGTTCTCAACTATTAAATTAATCTGTGGGTGGGAATTACCAGAGGCCCAACAATACAATATTATCATGATACAATATATTGCAATTTTAATTGCTTTACAATATGCTGAGTATTGCAACAACATATATTACCTTTTTTCAACTGCAAACTGTGTCCTCAAAGGAAAACTTTGTCAATGTTTGTTTTATTTAATGAGGTTTCAGTCTAATTATCCAATTTCAGTCATTTTTATTGCAGCAAAATGTACCTAGTGAACTGATTTTATCACTCTAGTAGGCTACCAAAGTTTGTAGTTTGTAGTTGTCATATCATTAATGTATAATAAGTGAATCCATACTTGGCTTTCTTATATGAATATTGCCACGCAAAATATTGTGACACTATGCTGTATTGACCCCCCACCCCCCACCAAGCCCTAAATTAAACCCCAGCTAATTTGATAATTGACAACCAATTTGAGTCATGTTCAACGAAAAAAAAAAGTCAAAATAGTCTGATTTCAGCTTCTTAATGTGAGCATTTCCTGTTTTCTTTACTGGTCTGTGACAGTACACTGAGAATCTTTGGGTTGTGGACAAAACTAGACATTTGAGGACATGATCTTGGGCACAATATTTTCTGAAATTTTGTAGCCCAAACACTTAATTGATTCATTAAAACAATAATGGACAGATTAATCGACAATGAAAATAATCCTTATTTGCAGCCCTACTTTTATATAATGTATATTTTATTTTAATTATATATTCGTAGTGTATTGTGGCTTTATAATACTGAAAGCTGTATATTTTAATTACACTTTCTGTGCATGTAAACGCTGTAAAAGCCCAACTAGAGATAAGTGCTGCAAATCAGCAATTTCTATAGTCTATCTATGTTAAATAGCACAGTCCCCATCAAATTAATAAATTCATATGATCAAATAAAGCATTTGTTTCTTATCAAATATAAAGTTTCAAAAGAATAAGACAACTAAATTTGATTTATAGACTAATTAGGTTTGTGAGTTATTCACAATTGACAATTTTATTAATAGAGCACATTAATTTGATTATTTAAATCTACCGTATAGAGAGTTTATAGGAAGTAACAGCAAACTGCTTAACTAAGGAGAAGTTATACTACAAATGTGGTTAAAATAAGGTTATAGACTTAGCTACTAGTGCTAACCAGAAACCATTACAGGTGCATGTGTTTAGCTATCCTTTACATGTAGCTAGCAAGCTAACTAATAATAAGCGTTAAACTATACAAAAATATGTAGTTTTACTCTACGCATACCTTATAAAACCATCAGCATTTCATGTGGGATCCTTGTAAAACACTGAAAGCGAGTTTCCCATCCTTTAAATCACGTTTTACCGGCTGAAATGTGTCTTCACTGTTCATTTCGATTTAGCCCGGAAGCAAAACTAAGTGACATTGGCGGTGCATCATGGGATATGTAGTGGATTTACAACCGTCTTGTTTTAGCCGTTTTGGCCACTCGAGGGCGCTTCTTGTGTGTTGTTGTTAAATACAAGGCAGTTAAGGGAACTGAAAGCGGTGAAATATTTACTATGATTAAGAATAGTTTACTAGAAAATGAAAAACATGGCGTAATGCTACGGTTGGTGTATTTATTGAAACTTAGCCCACAAACCGTCTTGTGCTTGTTAGAAAAAGCTGAAGACGACGTACGCGTTGCAGTTGAAGATCTCGACGCCGTGTCAGCCACAAACCAGGAAATATCTTGGCTGTCCCGCGCTTGGCTGCAGCTGCAGGTCCGTAGTGGTCGGTGAATGCATGGTTTCCACCGATACAGCCCGACCTGTAGCCTCAAAACGGGCGCCACTGGCTGTGGAAAAGGCTTTCTAGGCTGTATGTTTCAGAGCTGATTTTTTTTGAAGAAGCACAACCATGGGCGTGGAAGTCGACACAATATCCCCCGGTGATGGTGAGTGGATTTATCCGCTTGTGTGTGCTTTGATGCGGGGGGTGGTGGTTGTGGTGTTGGGGCTCGGTATTTCCCCGGAATCTCGTTCAAATTTTGTTAAATTTGAACTTGAATCACATGAAACATTGACTTCAGTCTAGTAGGAGGTGTTTTAGGTTACTCTTTAAATAGGTGGCATTTAACAGTAATATTCGGGGTTAATTTAAAAGTCTGTAAATCCCATTTTTCACTGTTACTCACCATGACCAACGCCTGCATAGCATATTTCTAGAACTCTCCATACATACTGTTACTGATAACCAGGTTAATTCAGTCAAGATTAATCTGCATGTCTTATTACATTGAGAATTTGCACACAAGGTAATACAGATTTGGCTCAGGATACATGCATGTGTGTCTTAACCTGCAGGACTCCTTCAGGCTTATTTCTTTCTCTTTCAAATGCACTAATAGTATATTCAGAGGCACTTCATAGCCCCTTGTCCTGGAAAAAGAAGCCCCTAGGCTTAAGTTTCAAACTGAGGATGATTTTCAGACTCATGTTTGACTTCAGTTTGCTTGTAGACATAAGGGGAGTATGACATTCCTGCTAGGAATGCCTCACCAGACTTAACCCAGACATTGTTAATCTACAAGATAAGCCTGACAGCCTCTGAGGTGTGCTGACACACAGTAACCCTTGTTTTCTTTCTCTTCTCAACAGGAAGAACATTTCCAAAGAAGAACCAGACATGTGTTGTTCATTACATAGGTAACTGACCCTTCTTCTTTTGTTTTGTGCTGGCAGCCGTGAAGCCAGTCGTGTTTCCTGTCTCCTTGTTGAGAGGGGAAATTTGTCCCTGCGGGTTTGACAATATCTGTAACACAACATGAGTCCGTTTGCAGCTCAGCTCTCACAGTCTGCACGACATGTAGGCACCTGCGTGTCGCCTAAAGTTTCAGAGATAGGGTGGAGCTGCCAGTACGTGCAAAAAATATTAGTTTTCTTTTGTTTTGTAGGAGAAATGTGACATTGGTGTTGTCAGTGCCGTGTTGGAGACTGCTGCAACTTGCACCGTGCACGTAGAATACTCGTGCGCACACACAAATGCACAGACATGCTTTATTTTTCCTGTTTGTTTCCTGTCAGATTGCCCAAGTGTGAGGCGGGGCGGCAAGACGCGGAGACGTTTAGGAAATAAATTTGGGTTATTCAGTGCCCCAGGGTTGGTAGTCCAGACAACTAGGTCAGACAGAAAGTAAACAAAGCCTGGTTCACAGTCATCAGTCTGTCTGAGTATCAGTGTTATTACATAGCTATAAAAGTTATTGCACACTCCCTGGTATTGGCTCTGTGGTAAACGGGTTTGTGTTTGAGTAGTTCATTCTCTGTGAAGGTGTGCGTGCTTTAGTCTGTCGCCGATTCTTTCTTGTCCCTGATGCTAGGGATTTCCCATCAATGATTTAAAATAGGCTCACGTGGATGTCTTAATCTGTTGAGATTACTTGGCTGGACTGACTTCTCATAGACTTAGTTTAATGGAGGAATTTTCGCTTTGTTTGACTAGCGTGTGAGAGTTGTCAGACCAGATCTGGATAATGAATGTGGTATTGTTCAGCTTCTTTGGGTTCAGTGGAAGACTGACCAGTTGTTGGAGTATTGCAGAGATACAGCACATCCCAGTCGCGAGTCTTCCATAGTGAGGGTTTGGTAGTAACTCACTGTTTTGGTCAGTAAATTAACAAAAACAGATAACAAGTTTCAGTCTCCATCAGCACCTCAGCCCCACTCTTGGATTAAACTGATTTTGAATGCACTTCTCTGTGTTTTCTGCCTTTTATTTCCTGTGCTTAATTCTCACAATCACACCATTAAAGGGTAACTTTGGTGTTCGTCAACCTGGATCCAGTTGACCATGTTTTTATGTGTAGGTGACTAATGGAGACATCAGTTTTTGAAACTGGTCCAGGATTGAGCAAGAGCGCTGCAGATGGGAGTGATGAAACAATCTGCAATGTAACTGCTTGGGGCATTTGTGCACCTTCATTGTAATTACAATAAAAGTGCTTGTTTCTGCCACTGACAGGGTCAGATTATTATATATTATATAAGTGTCTGACAACATTATTGACAGGATCCCGGCAGAGTTAAACCTCTTTATAAAAGAATAAGATCCCTTTTGTGTAACCACAAACAGCCCTGACTTCGCCATCACCAAACCCACCAGACTGCATTTAAAAAAAAATGTTATTCATTTCCTTCTCCTCCTGAGACCAGAACTTTTGTTTGGTATGCATTTTTAATTGCTCCTAGTTATTTTGGACTAGAAGGACCTGATAAGTTTAAAAAACTAAACGTTGTCAACGACAAAGTCCCAGTGTCCTCAAACGAGACGACAGTAAAGTCACATTGTCCTTAAACAAGACGATAATAAAGTCCCAATGTCCTCAAATGAGACGATAATAAAGTCCCATTGTCCTTAAATGAGACGATAATAAAGTCCCATTGTCCTTAAACGAGACGATAATAAAGTGCCAGTGTTCTCAAACGAGACAATAATAACGTCCCAATGTCTTCAAACAAGACGATAATAACATCCCAATGTCCTCAGAGACGATAATAACTTCCCAATGTCCTCAAACGAGACAATAATAAAGTCCCAGTGTCCTCAAACGAGACGATA